CAAGAACTCAATCCACGTTGAGCCAACAACCCCAGGGTCTGTCTTAGCAGAAAGCAGGAATCGGGGCTGGTGCTGTGGCATAGCGGGTAGGGCCACCGCATGCAGTGCTGGCATCCTATATGGGCACCGGTTCAAATCTGGCTGCTCCACTTCCCCTCCAGCTCTCTGCTACAGCCTGGGAAAGCAGTGGAAGCTGGCCCAAGTCCTTGGGCCCCTGCACCCACGTGGGAGACCTGGAAGAGGCTCCTGGCTTTGGATCAGCGCAGCTCCGGCCGTTGCAGCCATCTGGGGAGTGAACCAGTAGATAGAAGGCCTCTCTCTCTCTGCCTCTGCTTCTCTCTCTGTGTAACTCTGACTTTCAAGTAAATGAATAAATCTTTAGAAAAAAAGAAAGCAGGAATCAAAAGCCACAGCTGGGCATCAAACCCAGGCGCATGGATGTGGAGACCCAGGGCTCTTAACCACTAGGCTAAACGCCCGGCCCTGGGTCTCACTTTCCTCTGTCCTCACAAAGGGGATGTGAGCCCCTTCAGGGCAGGGACTGCTCCCCTCAACGTGCTGCCATCCTCCCTCCCCCACACTAGGCTCAAGGCCCACAGCACAGCCTAGGCACACGGCTACCAAGGGACAAATGAACAGTCAGTCCACGCCCTCCAGGGCCGGAGCCCTACGTCCAGTCCCTCCTAGGGAGCCAGCAGCAGCCAGCAACTTACCAGGTCCCGCCCTCTACACTTCCCAGGTGCCACCACTCAGGCTGTCCCTTTGCCTAAATGCCTTCCCCTCCTACTTCCTAAGCCTTACTGATACTCTAAGACTCCAGTCAGGTGCCATTAGGAAGCTGGAGGGGGTATCTTGTGGGCTCTGGCGGTCACAGCACTGCTCAAACTGGTAACGTAGTCTACCCCACACCCTGTCCTTGGGACGGGAACCACGCCTGCCCAGCAGGGGCCAGCATCTGGCAGGAGCTCAGCGGCAGACGAACCCTGGGGAGAAAGGGCAGCAGTCCAAGTTTTAAGATTGGTACCACCAGGCAGCCTTCAAGAGGCTGCTTTGGGCTAAGGCACGACCGAGTTAAACACTCAGCAGAGGCCCCATGCCTGCCGGGAGGAAGGAAATGGGCAGGGGTCTTGGCTTTCATCCAGTCTGCTCTGCAGGGAAAGGGATCTCTGCTGGGCAAACAGGCTGCTCACACGACAGATGTGCCTTCAGCCCACCCCTGCCCTGGGTTTCAGGTGAGTGCCTCCTGAGTCCAGGCGCGGAGCTCAGGTTTGCTCACACTGCTGACACACAGGATGGTTTAGGCTTCCACTTGCCAAGAGCCAGAGCTGGATGAGCTTACAAGGTTCAGGTGCCCTGGGGAGAAGGGAGGAAATGGGTGCCCAAGGGGGGGTGGGGTGGGGGTAGGGAAGAAGAGACCCAGTCTCTCTGGTACAGCCAGTAGGGGGTTGGACAAAGACTCGGGGCTGCTTGCCTCATTTATACCGAAAATCAGTAAAAAGCAAAGAAAGAAAAAAGTCACTAAGAAGCAAATGAGTTGTCCAGAGGAACAGGGTGAGACGCTGGGAAAGCAGACCTTGCTCTGCACCAGGGGAGGCCCACGTGGCAATGGTTTAAGGTGAGCTCTGGGCCACACACTCTGTAACACAGGAACAAGGTGCCGCGTATGGGACGGCCTGCCCTTGCCCTTGCCCTCAGGCGCTACACAAAGCAGGTGAGCAGTGCGGCCCTTCAGAGCCACGGTCCAGAGCGGCTGGGCTGAGGGCCTCACACTGGACCCCCGAGCAATCAGGGGAACCCTGCGGCTTTCTGGGTGTGAACTGCTTGCCCCTCGGTCCTGAGCTCCAATCATTCTTCAGCCTCAGGCTGGCCTGGCCCATCCAAGATGACTTTCACAGGAAGGGAGGGAAGAAGACAATACACGGAGCCGGAGGCAGTGAGGAGGGCTTCCTAAGGCAGGCTGCAGGGCAGGGTGGTTGGATGGCAGGATGCAGGGCAGGGTGGTAAGCGGGTGGTAAGCGCAGACCAGTGGGTGCTGTGTGCGAGGGCCTGCATTCCAGGCTGTCCTTAAGGATGATGAAGCACCTCCCCTAAGCACACAGGCCTCAGGCGGCTACCCTGGCCCAGCCCAATGCTCCCAAAGCTCGGGGGCTGGGTGAGTCAATGCAGAGACCCTCATAGCACAGAGCTGCAGAGGACATGGGTGAAGGGGGGTTAGAGGCCAGTATTATTCACCAGGCCTGCGATCTGTTCCAGTCAACGTATCCCTGACCACGCTGATCACATGCAGGGTGACTCAACCATGTGCAAACTATGAGCACATTAAAAAAATTTAATTTTTATTTATTTGAAGTAGGGGAAGGGGAGAGAGGGAGACAGAGAGAGAGAAATGTTCACTCCCCCAAATGTCTGTGATAACCGACTATGCCAAGTCAAGAGCCTGAAACTCCATCTGGGTTTTGTACATGCGTGACAGGGACCCAAGTACCTGAGCCATCATCTGCTGCCCTCCTGGGGATGTGTTAGCACGAAGCTGGATTGGAAGCAGAGCTGAGACTCGACCCAAGCAGCAGCCTAACCACTGCACCCGCCTCACTGAACTCTAACTGCGAGTGAGACTCCATCTTGTCCCCCGCAGGTCTGCTGGGCAGAGCTAAGGGCCAGGACACGTGGAGGCAGGAACAGAGAGCAGCACGACAGCCTGTGCAAAGGCCCAGCCTGTGTAAAGGCCAGGCCCTGGGAAGCCTGGGCGCAGACCCGCTGGAGGAATCCAGGGAAGCTCCCTCCACATCCTCCCCCAGGCAGCAGCAACTGTTACTAGCAGGTTGTAAGTCTGTTCTCTTGAGACCAGAACCTGGACCACCCATCCCCTGCAGAGCCCACTCATTCATAAGCAAGGTCTGCTGTGGGTGGAGGAGGATGTCCTGACCCTGCCCTTCACCCCCCCCCCCCCCCCCCCCAGTCTGTCTTCCCAGACCTGTGTGCACCCTCTGAAATAGCCCTCACCCTCACCGGGATCTTTCCCCTGCTCAAGACCTCCCACATCTACCCCTGCCCTGGGCGTGGCCAGCCCAGTGCAGGCCAGCCCCTCGGATCACTCCCCCTCACAGCCTGTACAAGACCCACTGAGCAGCCTCAGCATGCTGCCCGGGCTGGCCCAGCATCGCCTGCTTCCTGCCTCTGCCCATCTCTGACCACCTTACATGGAGTGAGAAAATTCTGCGGAGGCACGCTGGCTCCGAGAGCTGGGACAAGGGGCAGAGACGATCCACACCCGCAGAGTGAACACTCACACACGTACCCGGTAAGTTCAGTTCCACCCTGGACTCTGGGCAGGTGTCTAACTGCTACCAGAAACCAGTGTACTGACAAGAGCAGCTGGGGGCTCGGTGGACGTGGGCAAAGTCAGCCTCCCAGAGGTGGGTTCCAGCGCTGCCACTCTGCAACAGTGCCGCCTACACTGAGTTGCCAGAGGGAGCCTCAGCGGGCAGAGTGGGCAGCCGCCTATGTGTGTCGGTCAGCTTCTCATCCCCGTAACTCAGTTCCTGCCGCTGGCTACTCAGAGAGGAAGCAGCTGATGCTGGCCCGCGGTCCTGGAGGCTCACAGTCCAAGGCGCGGGCTTGGCCACTGGCGAGGCCAGAGGACGGAGAAGGCAGAACGTGCACGGAAGCAGCTGGGCGAGCAGCTGGGCCAACCCAAGGTTTATCACCAACCCTCCCGTGCACTGCTTCTGAGGGCACGCCCCCGTGACCTACAGCTCTCCCACCTGGCCTCCCGAGAGCTACAGCTGCAGCAAGCCCCCACCCTCCCGGAACCATCCACCCTTGATGCTGGGGCTTCACCACCTGTGTGAGTTCGGGAACCACGCCCACTGAAAGCACAGAGCAAGAGGTGAGGCGGAGTCAGCAGGGCCTGTCCGCCCCTCGCCCCCGCACTGCAGCAGAACGGCGGGGAGGAAGCGCTGCGCGGCCTGCGGTAATGAATGGCTCTGATAACAACAAGATGACATCTCGGCTTGGTCTTTAAGATGCATCATTGCATGTTTATTAAACTATTGCTCCATCAAATTTATTTGGCTACAAAACAACTCCCAGCCCATACTTCTAAGAGTGGTTTATTAAAAACTGAGCCTTGCACATTAATACTCAAAAGCACCCTTGAGAATCAATAATAATGCTGCAGATAAAATGAAAGGGAATCAAAGCAGTAAGTCTTGGTGGGGCTGCGGCTGCCTTTCCACACTTGCATCGTCAGGCAGCTGGAGCGGGGAGGGCACCAAGGGCAAACTCTCGACTTCCTGTCTAAACGCCGACGGTGACAGCAGGGAAGGGGGTGTCCCACGCCAACGAGCCATCACAAAGGGCCAACAGAGGCCAAGGTCAGGCTGCAGTCTTCCAAGATAAAGACCTCTGCCCCCAACCAACAGCCCCATAACTAACGCCTTCTGCTGGCCCCGGTCTGGGCATCCATCCTGGACACAGGCGCCAGGCTGAGCTCTGCGTGGAGCCCTGCCCTTGCCCAAGTGTAAGCCTCAAATCCAACCACGGTCACTGGGGGCCAGGAGAGCCAGTGAGGCTGAATGCAAGTTGCTCTGGGAAGGGGCCCAGCAGGCAGGGCCCTGAAAGCCCAGAAGACCTCATGGCAAAAGGCCTCTCCCAGCTGCCCCCCAGACCCCCAGGCCTCTCCAGGCATGCCCGGCTGCACCCTGCCCTGGCAGCAGCAGTAACACTTGCACAGAGAAACCAGAACAAACTGGAGGATTTCGAGAGGAACCACACAAATGGAAAGGCCTCCAGACCCTGCCCGTGAGGGCTCAAACAGCTGAAGAATCGGGCAAGTCGGGGCTGACTCACTGCCCAAAAGATGAGGGCTGACCTGGGCCAGGGCAGCCAGGGGTCTCTGTGGGGACAGCCTCAACCTAGGCTGAAATCTCCTCCAAGACACGGTCACCACCAGAGGCAGGGCTCGCCCTGCTCGGCCCCTCCCACGGGCCGACACTCACCTGCTGACCTCCTGCACGTTGTTGGCCCGGGCAGCTTCCATCAGGGCTGCATCTGGAGAAAGAGGGGGCAACGGTCAGATCCCGGGCAGGACCCCCCCCCAGGGCTGCCCCGAGGCCCAGCCAGTGGGCGTGGAGGCCCTTCAGAAGCTGAGCTTTAACAAGCGCCAGCTGGCGTCTAAAGAGCCTGAGAATCAGCCCCTCCCCCAGCTGTTAACAGCCTGACTTCCACACCTTCCCACCACACAGCCCAGACTCTGAACTCCTCTCCCCACGCAGGGGACACGGGGGCACTGTGTCTCACCTGCAGAAAACACTCAGTGTGTGCAGCCCTTCCCTCTTCACAAGCAGACGGCTCTGGAAGCTACTGCCATGGTTATTACTGACTACGCAACCCTCCCACGGTCTCCCCAGCTCCACTGCTTCAGCCCCGTTCTGAACCGGGCTGTCACGGCCACTTGTCTAAAGGGAGGGATGGGCTGGGGAGGGGCAGGACACCAACTCATCCTGCGACAGTGGCAGCCCCTCCCTCTAACTAGAGCCGGACAGTAACCCTCGGCTGCCAGCCTCACAGCGATGCCAGGGGGAAACGATGGTGAAAACCCTGCAGAGTGTCCCTCACCAAGCCCAGTGAGGGAGACCCAAAGCACAGGCTCAGATCACGGAAGAATCACCAGGCCCAGAAGAAAAGCAAGGCACAAGCCTGCCTCAGGGGCCGCTTGCAGGCTGTTGGCGCCCCCTTGTGACCACAAAGAAAAACTGCCTCGCTGAGGAAAATTCAAAGGTAAAAAAGTAGCGGTACACTCCCTTCAAACAGTCCACACCTCGCTCTGTGCCCAGCTGGTTCTGTCCACACTGTTGGGCACTGCACCAATGCACAGACAGTCCTGCCTCGGCAGCTCTGTCTCGCCCAGAGAACCACGCATTGAAGCACAGAACGCCCCGAGGCAGGGCAGAAAGGGCAGGCTCTGCAGGCTGACAGCCTGGGCTATAGTCCCAGTCCTGCCACCACTGCTGTGCCCGCGACCTGGACAGCCCACCACGCCTCCTGGGCCTCAGTTTCCTTATCTGTACAACAGGGGTAAGATACCCAGTGCAACATGCATATGAAAAGCCAGCTCTGTGGCTCAGATGCTGGTGCCTCCACCCCCACTTCTCAGCTCAGCCTCCAGGGCCTAGTCTCTCTCCTGCTTACTCCAGCCAGCTGGAGGGGAACACTGTTTCCTCAACTCCTGCCGAGGGCGCTCTCCATTCTCAGAGGGGCCCCTGCCTGGCCCTCCCCGTCCTGTTGCAACCTGCACCTGCGGCCACGACACCAGCTGCAGGGCTCTGGGCACGCTGCAGGCAAGGTCGCAGCTGAGAGAGGAATGCGAGGGTTGGAATCAGGGCCTCCTGGTTCCTAGGGGCCTCAGTTGAGAACCCCATGGCTGGGACGGGGCAGCCGGCAAGGCAGAAGGGTTGGAATTGCCCCGGATCCATTCTGGCAACCGGGCCCCGGTCCCCTTGCTGGAGTTCACATGCCACAGGGTTCGGTGTGGAGCCCCCAGGAACCTCTCAGGCAAGACCCCAGACACCTCTCTCTAACCCACGCACACACACTGGCCTCAGGACACTCCCTGCTCAGGAGCCTTCCGCGGCTCTCCGTTGCCTACAGAAAATTCCAGACCCTGATGCATGGCACGCAGGCTCCACTCCACCTGTTCTCACCTCAGCCCAAAGGGCCCCGTGCTCCAACCAAGCCGGCCCGTCTGCTGGCCCCTCGACACGCAGACCTGCGAGCTTGGTAGCTTCGTGCCCGAAGCCTCTGGGGGACTAGGACCCGGCCCGAGACACACGGGCCAAGTACTGACGGAGGCCCGGCTCCGCTGGCCGACAGCAGCCACCTCCCGGGCCCAGCTCCCTGTCCGTCCCTTCTCCTGCCTCATCCTGCAGAACTCAAGTTGGAACTCCCCACCCTCCGGGGCTGTCCAACCCTACAGGAAGGCCCTCCTGGCCCGCCCGCCCCCACCAACCCCTCGGCATGGCTGCCTGCGCGCCTTTCTGTCCCGATGGCTTCCAAAACACCTGGCCCCACAGGGCGCACACAGAAGGTGTCCAAAACTGCTGCACGGTACAGAACCACGGCACGTCTCAGCAGGGGGCAAGAGTCCACATTCACAGCGGGGAGTTGGAGAGTTGGACAACGCCGAAGCAAGGTCCCTAGTCCAAAGCCCCTCTCCCTGCAGCCGGCCCAGATGAAAGTCACGGACTCCTCTCTCCCTCTTGCCCCAGTCTCAAGGGCTTGGGCTGCAGGGGACCTGGGCACACTCGTCTCAGTCTTCCCCTGGAGGAACCTACTGAGAAGCCGAGTGACTCTGCCCTCCCGGCCCCTGCTCAGCTCCAGCTGGCTCAGCCATCAAACAGCCCCCGACACGCACACCCCCTCAAGCCTGAGACCGGACACAGCAAAACTCTGGGAGGCGGACACAGCGCAGGTCCCTGAACTCCAACAGTGCTCAATAAGAGGGCTGTAAGAATACGGACAAAGCCTCCTTTACTATAAAAGGGGGGATCAAGCTGGCATCAGAACCAAGGCTCCTCCTTTCTCAGGCCACCTGTGGGGCAGGGGCAAATTCTCTACACTATCTCATCGTTGCCCGCGGGACCAGGCAAAACATCAGAATATAACAGATTCCTAGTGCAACGGCCCATTGTACAGATGGACAAAGTGATGCCCTAAAGGGAGGCTGACCTATGCTGGAAGATTATACAGTTCCCTACTCCCGGAACCAGGTGACACCTAGGTAGCTCCAAGACTCGGGGCTCTGCGGGTTTAAATCCACAAGCACCGCCCACCCTCCAAAGACCCGTACACTCCTCCCACCTCTCCCTTCCCTGAACCCAGCCTGTCCCTTTAATTACCCTTGTTGGACGGACTCTTGCTGTAGCAATGAACCATCAGCGCCGTGGCCAGAGCCCACATGCTGAGGCCGGCTCTGTTGGGGACCTCATTCCAGCTGTCCTGTCCTGGCAGTGTTCCTTCAGGGCTAGGAAGGTGTTCCCACGCGGCGGCCGCGAGGCCATGGGTCTTGGCGCATCTTCCCCGGCGCCCCCCGGTGGTTGCCCCTCCTCCGGGGAGCAAGGCTGGCAATGGTCCAGGGCGCCCCCCGGCGGCCACCCTCAGCCACTGCGGCTCCCCGCGGTCCCCGGTGGTCACGGTTCGGCCAGAGGCACCTCCACGGCTGCGGAGCGACGGGGACCTGAGCAGTCGGAGAAGGAGCCGCGGCTCGGGCGCTGTTCTCAATACCAGGGTACCCAGCATCGCGACAGCTGCTTCGATAACCCCCTGGTGCCGGCCCCTGTGCTGGCCACGTCCAACATGGCTGCCGCGGCGCGTTCGAAGACGCCGCGATCGGGGCGGAATTGCGCACTACCTCACGGGAATCGTAGTTCACAGCCTTAGATCTTTCCGTAGCTGAAGAACGGTTGGACTACAATTCCCAGAACGCTGTGGGATTCGCGTCACAATGACTGTAACTTAGAGTGGCCTGAGCCTTTTGGGAAATGCAGTTCCGGCGGAGGGGCGTGGCAAGAAGGAAAATGCTAAGATGGGGCGTGGCAATTAAAGATTCGAATTTGGGAACATTTCTGCTAGTTTAGCGAAAACGCACGAGGTGATTTCTGACCTGTGTTAAGTTATGCAAAGATCTTCAGCAGAGGCCTGTTAGGAAACTTAGGTTGACAACTTTTAGCCTATTTCTCCTTTCAGCCTAGGACTTTTCAAGAAGATGTACCTTTTATCACCCTACCCAGATTTGGCTCTCAGGTGAAGGGTGGACACCTGGCCTTGCGCTCCCACTTGTGTTGTTTTCAGAGGGCCTCCACGAGGGGCACGATCACCTGATCCTCGTGGCAGCTGCGAGCGGGAAGCTGGGCAAGGACTGTTATCCCCATCTATGGCGAAGACGTTTTAGGCTACAGGTGCAGTGATTTGCCAATAGATCACCTACTGACTCTTGGCCCGTGTGCCCTTGCTTTCCGTTAACTCCTGCCCTTCCCATCCCGGCGCACGCCGTTTACCAGATGGAAGCCACAAGCCAAAGAAGACAGCTCTTCCCTGGTGCAGTTGTTTCTTGGGCCTGCGCCCCTGTGGGTCTGCATCAGGACCTTCCCGGACAGTTCCAGCTATAACAGCGACCCGCCTCGCTGCCGTCCTTCCCTCCTGCCCTGATTCTCTTCGAAGCATTTATCACCACATGACACAATCAGTAGATGTTGGCTGTCTTTCTCCAGGACAGCGTGAGCCCCAAGAGACAGGGACTTGGGTTTTTATACTTTGTTATCACCAGTACCTCCAGCCGTGCCTGGAACAGCAGAGACACTCAGAGAATATTTGTTCAGCCAATGGGTTACCTTCTCCTTATTAGTGCAGGGGGATGGATATGAGCTTCGGCATTCAGGCAGACATAGATTTTAGTTGTTTTGTAAATTTTTTTATTTTTACTCATTAGGGAGACAGAGATCTCATCCACTGGTTCACTCCCCAAATGCCCACAACAGCCCCTGGCTGTGACCAAAGCCGTGAGCTTGAAACTCAAGTCCAGGTCTCCGACTTGGGTGGCAGGAATGCAGTTGCCTGAGCCAGCTCTGCTGACTCCCCCGTGTCTGCATTAGTCGGGAGCTGGAGCTGAGGATCATGCCCAGGCCCCCTGCTGTGCGATGTGGGCACATGAAGCCCATCTTAACTGCGCACTAAGCATCTGCCCCTGGATTTTCATTCTTGCATTTACTACATGTATGATCTTAAAAAAAACTATTTCTCAGATAGTTAAAGTCACTATTATGGAATAATTCCTTCCTTCAAGGCGATTGCTTGTGTTAAATGAGTTACGGAGAAACCCCCAACGCTGGCCCCACCTCACAATAGGTCTCCGGGGAATGGCAGCTGTCACTGGATCTTCTGCTGTGTGCGCCCCTGCTCTGGGGGCACATGGCACTTCCTCCGGTGAACCCCTCACAGCAGAGACAGAGCTTCTCAGGTCCACATCCTGGTGTATATCCTAGTAATACAGGAAGGCAGGTCGACACTGCTAGTGAGTGGGGTGGCCAATAAGGCAGAATGTTCTGGAGCTTTCTTTCTTTCTTTCTTTCTTTTTTTTTTTTTTTTTTGACAGGCAGAGTGGACAGTGAGAGAGACAGAGAGAAAGGTCTTCCTTTGCCATTGGTTCTCCCTCCAATGGCTGCCACGGCCAGCGCGCTGCGGCCGGCACACCGCGCTGATCCGAAGGCAGGAGCCAGGTGCTTCTCCTGGTCTCCCATGGGGTGCAGGGCCCAAGCACTTGGGCCATCCTCCACTGCACTCCCGGGCCACAGCAGAGAGCTGGCCTGGAAGAGGGGCAACCGGGACAGAATCCGGCGCCCCGACCGGGACTAGAACCCAGTGTGCCGGCACCGCAAGGCGGAGGATTAGCCTAGTGAGCCGCGGCGCCGGCCCTCAGTTGGTTTTCACCGATCACATGTGTGAGGGGTGCAGCAAAGCCTCAACCTGCCAGCAGTTTGGTAAGGACCCTGAGAAGGTTCAGTAACACTGAGAGGGAGATGGGGGCAGAGGGGCTGCAGAAACACCTCCTGGAATCAGCTGGGGCCCCGTGAATGCTGGATGGCCAATAGCCGGTTCAGAACCCCGCAGGACACAGTGCTGCCATCCTAAATGATACCAGTCCAGGGTGGCTTCCTCTCTCTGCTCAGAAAGCAGGAATTTCTATTCGGTCTCGGTTACCCTCCCTTAGCCCTAAGCTTCTAGCTCTGGGGTTGTGGACAGCAAACTCTGTCTTCATTTAGTTTGTCAGGAGGCCACTGGAGGATATTTGATGGGCTTTGGAAGGAAGCAGAGACTGAAGGATTGATGCAGTTGCTGTCACTCACCTGCCTCTGGAGTGGGACTGCAAGATCCCCGATGCTGCCCATTCCACAGGCTTCTGAGGACAAGCACGCACGTGCGCGCACACATACACACACACATGCACACACACTTGTTAAACAAATACTAGATAGAGGCTAGGTTTTTTGTTATGAAAGAGAGAAAGCCAAAATTAGCCTTGTGTGTTGGACTGGAATCAGGGGTATTATTACCAAAAGCTCAGTCCCTGGTGCCTGGTGCCAATCAAAGTAACAAGGATGAGGTCTTGGGGTGAAGGGAAGAGAGCATGTGATTCGTTGACACAGGAGGGTGCAGCAGACTTCCAGGTGTCCCGGACTGCTGCTCTCCTGTTTGAGGGTGTCTTGGGGATTGCGAGGAAGGGGAAGTCACCAAAGAGCTGCCAGTCTGTGGTGTCAGGTGCTCAGCTCATCACTGGAGCGGGGACAATGCATCCTTTCTCTGCTTCGTCATGGTGCTCCTTGAGCTCCACAGGTGGGGAGGTTAGATCTCCCCTCCTCTGGAGGTGAGACAAGTTGCGCCTCAGGACATGGCTAAGCGGGAAGCCAGCCACCCAGGCCTGAAGCATCAGCTTCCTGGCCTTACATTTAAGTAGTAGAAGTTGTCTGCTTGCTTTATGCCTGGTTATAGTATCAGTATAAGTTCCTGGTTTTTAGATGTGTGTGCAGATAGATCAATACAGAAACATGGATATGAAGGAGTATGTCTTAGTATGTTATATATATACATACATATATACACATACATATGTATATATGTGTGTACATATATGTATGTGTGTGTATATATATATATATATCCTAGCTCCGGAAACTATGAGACCCTAAAAACTGAATACAGCTAACAGCCAGATCCAAACATCATTCTCCAATAAGCCAGGATCTTGCGACTCTTGGAGAAATGGCCATTTTCAGGATTAGGGCAGGGAAAATACAAGATGAGCCAAGGACATCTTATGTGCCAGAAAGCGAGCCTCAGAGCCAGACACAGGCAACGGGAGGCAGTTCTCACGACCTGCGCTGGAGCAAGTTGACCGAAGAATACTGATTGCGTGAGGTTTTCACCTCCGGAGTCAAACAAATGTCCATCGAGTGATCCCAGTCACCTGGTAGATAAATGGCAGAGGAAGGGCCTGAGACTGCTCTTCCTTGCACAAGTCCAATCAATACAGGTAGAAGGAAGAGGGAATTAGTGAATTACCATTAGCAATTACCATGCTAATAAATATCTCTGACAAGATTCCAGGGTGATGCTAAAATTGGTAAAAATTTGAGAAGAAACAAGATTTTTATAGTCTCAAAGTACCTCTGGTAAGATAAACTACAAAAACCTCACGGTAGACAAACCTGGCAGAAAGCAGCATACCCACGTGATCCAGGCAAATATCCCTAGTAATAAGACCCACAGCATGAATCCCTTGATGTGACACCCCCCCCCACAATGAGGACACAGCACCATTGTTGTGTATTCTTGCCAAGCACACCCAACGCCACTCTGCTCATGGGAAAACATCAGGCATGCCCATCCTGGGAGACATTCTACATATAACTGAGACAGCATTTCTGTTACCTTTCTGTTGCTGTAGAACAAATCGCCCTGTACTTGGCAGCTTCAAGGCACACCCACTCACTGGCTCTGGGTTCCCCTGAATCTGGAGCCCAGCGTATGTCCACCCTGGGGACAGCTGAATTCACATCTCATCTGCAGGGTGAGCCAGGGAGAAGCAGGTTGTTGGTTGAAGACATTGCCCAAGATGTGGGGTGAGGTCCACTGCACGCTGCTAGCTGTCAGTAGCTGGGGACCCCTCTTAAGTCCTAGAAGCCATTCTCCGGTCCCGTGGCCGCCTCCCTGCACCCTCACATTGTAAGAAAGGTCCCTGACTTCAGGAAGGGCCCAGTCATGTTCTGGGGCCCCCTGACTGGGCCAGGCCCTCCCCTCTGGGAGGTCAAAGCCAACTGGTAAGTAGCGTAATCACAGGGGTTGTGTCTCATCAGAGTCAGACTCTGTGACACTCTGGGTGTGTACAAGGTGCGCGCAGAGGTGCAAAGCTTAGGGGTCTTCTGAGAACTCTGCCCACCACAGCCCTCTTCTGAAGGGTCAAGGCCATGAATGATGAGGAGATGGAGGATCCGCTGCAGACTAGAGATTAAGGAGAAACAGAAACTAAATGCAGTGTGCTTGCACATATGATCTGAGAACAGAAAAAGGACATCGGTGGAAAAAGTGGTGAACTTCAAAAAGTTCTAAAGCTAACAATATTGTACAATTGTTAATATCTTGTTCTTTTTTAAAAAAAATTATTTATTTGAAAGGCAGAGCGACAGAAAGAGAGAGATCTTCTACCTGCTGGTTCACTTTCCAAATGGCTGCAACAGCTAGGGCTGGGCCAGACCGAAGCCAGGAACCAGGAATTTCATCTGGGTCTCCTCACTGGGTGGCAGGGCCTAAGGACATAGGTCATCTTCTGCTGCCTTCCTGGCTCATTAGCATGGAGCTGGATTGGAAGCAGAGTAGCTGAATCTC